AGGGCTTCATTAATAAAATTTTCATGCAAAGAATAATCCACAAACTTACTTGTAAAACACCAAACAATAATGAGGAACCTGTTGGGCTGCCCTTATTTATATTTATCTAAAGAATTACTGTATTTTTTATGAATGTTATCCTTGTTCAAATGTTGATTGAAAGGTACTCTGCTGTCTTATTTATTTGTATACTTGTATTTTAAGTTGTTATTATATGAAAACAATCCCTGTAAAACAGTTATGCTGGTCTGTGGAAATAAATAAATCAACAAAAAAAATTTAGGTCCCGCAACGCCCCCAAAAATTAATTATTAATTTTTATAGCAATAGTTATACATTTATAATATAATTGAATAATTATTTCTGAGGTACCAAAACGACGTTTCGTCGTAGAAATCAAGCCCTGCCGATACCGATGTCGAAATAAGGAGTTTTTGCATACGCGAACGTTAAAGCAATCGGCAGCACTACCAGTCTTCTATGCAAGCGCAGTTCAAGTTTCACATCACTTCCGTGCATCTGCGCATGCGCAGAAGATGGAGATTCAAGTTGACTGCTGCCTACTAAGGCGTGCAAATACTCCCTATTAATACCGATAGTACCTCGATGTATCTCTAGTGTTGAACAGTGATTTAAATGTTCATAATCCAATTCCACTAGAGAGTAATAAACGACTCCGTTCTTTTTTAATTCATAGACGTAAAGTTATTACCATTCATTATTTTTATTGATGTTAATGTGACCAATAATGGATTATAATTCTATTTGTAGAAGTAGATTATATAAGCAATTTCATACAATTTTTCTGAAACAATAAACTGCTAAAATGTACTCACAAAAGCAAACTTCGTTCAACGCCATTTATATGCTAATATCAAAATAATGTATATGTTTGGTGATGTCAGTGCACAAGAAATGTGATATGCCTCAAACATTTCCACTTTTAGATGAAAACAGGAATATGTAAGGAGAATATTGTATTTTCACAAGAAATATTTTCATGAAGTTTATTTAGAAGACAGTCTGCGTTAACTGTAGCATTTTGTTTCGGATGCGAAATTCACGTTCAAACCAATGAAATATTTTTAGATTAGCCCCTTTTTGTGCACATACGATATTGAGAAGTATTAAAAATAGATTATTATTAAACATTTCACAATATTTACCAGTTTTTAAATGGAGAGGTAGTCAGTAAAATGTATTAATAATTATATATTATAGCACCCACACACATGTATTCCTTAATACCTCTTTTCTGTCAAGATTTCATTCTTTTTAAGTATTTTGGTACAGAACATTTGTTCGCATTCATTGGAGATCATTATTACTAAAAAGGGCATATCCGAATACTGATAATAAAATGATTAGTATTTTTCGGATTACATATGATTTTAAAGAAAGGCATTGTTAAAAAACATTCAAACTTCAAAAAGAAGCACAGTATATTTCGATTCTGAAAAGAAAAAGCAGTATTAAAATCACTACAACTGATACTGCATATAAAAATATTTTGCAAATTCACATATAACAATCCCCAAGACACCAATGTACCACAAGAAATTGAAACAGAGAAAATTAAAAATATTAGTCAGGAATGTTTCGTGTGAGTGTCTGTGTGTGTATGTGTTGGTGTATGCGGGGAGGGGGTACAGATATAATGTCCAGCTGACTTGAAGTTTCTTACATATACTTTTTGTTTATGCTGAATAAAAATGAATTTTATTTGTAGTCTCATAGGTAATATTTATAATGAAAACAACTGAAATATTTAATGGTCTTTTTTATCCCTGAAAATGAGTAAATCCTATATTTTTAAATTGAATCATTGGCTTCTGCTGGGGAGCTTAGGTCCCAACAGCTCCACGCTTGGGTGCGTCTCTGTATAAAAAAAAATAACTGAAAAATGTATAATACGTACGAATTTTGAAACCATTACGAAAATATGTATCAATCGTAGAGGAAAGAAGATCAATCCTGATTAATGATAATATCTTTCCTCAATTGCGAATATTATAGTAAAAAATAAATCTCCAACAGTTAAATTCTTGTTAGTTGTTAGATTGGGAGTAAATATTTATTAGTCATTACTACTATCAGAGGGTGAATGGTCATAAAAATATGGTATAAACATTCTATCTTGTCTGTATTGTTGGAAAGACATCTTATTTTTATAAAAAAGTAAATGTTGATAATTGGTGTTATAATCTCCACCATATTATAGTATCAAGCAGACGAAAGTGTCAACCTTGACATTATTGTTCGCCAGCCAAAATACTCATATTATGGGGTAAATATTTTCACATTATTGAAGATTAAAATTACGGAATACTTCTTAAATTACTTTACATATTTCACATATCCGCAACAAAAACTGACAATATTACGGAGTACGTTTTGAAAGCAAGCAATTTAGTTAGGCACTTGCGACAATGTGAGCAAAAACGCAAATTGCAAATGGCAAGGTTTGGAACATCTTCAAACCAACCCGCCTTGCAACGTCGCTGGAAGCCTTCGAACCTACTCGTTAAGTTTTCCAGTATTCCACCTGCTGAATTCGCATTCTTAACCACTGTGGTTCCACCTCTGCCTCCGCTTCCGCCCCGCCCCCGTCCCGGCCGCGGCCTCGCTGCCCTTTGGCGCCCCGCCAACA